GGGTTGCCACATGAATGTTTTACTTATGAGTTACAGTTCCAAATGAAACTTCTAGATTCATATCACCTCATAACTTGTGGAAGGGGATGAATTAGGAACAGCAGGGTCACGGGTTGTCTGAGCAATTTGTACATCATTAGCCTCACAATTCTGAAATAAATAGTATCTGCTTCATAAACAAACTTAAATGAAATGTACATGGTCTCCAATGTGTGCATGTTATTATATACTTACATCATCATCAGCTGAATGCGGGCCATCACAGGACTTGAGACACAAGACAAGCTCTGCTGTGACAGCTCTTTCATGTCCTCAATAAACAAAAACACAAGACACTGCTTGAAAAATACCAAAAAACTATTTTCATAATCATCTATTTATTTACAACATGTCCCATCAGTCAAAACCTTATTTGATGCTTTACATTGAGTTTATGAATCTAATATCTTAATGTGGTAGCCTATGGTATCCAAGTGAATAATAATTCTTTATTAAATAAACATCGATCAATATTAAAACCTAACACAATCTGGACTAAACAGCAGCCGCTGGTTTACACTGGTCACGTTAACGAGTGTGTCTAAATGACGGCTTTAACTACGGTAAACATGCAAAAAGAAAACTACATATCCACTAGGCTAGTTAACTGAAATCAAACGATCAAGCACAAACCTCTGCTGAATCGTGACTCGAACTGTGGTCTCGCGCTGATGGTAGGCACGCCCAGGACATGCGCTTCCTACGCCCACAGCGAGTTATGATTGGTCGATCGACAGGCTCAAATCTGATTGGCTAAAGAGTACGACTGACCCGCGTGGGAGGAGTTCGCTGCCAGGAAAGTAGGGCTGGGCGATATAGCTAAAAAAAATTATCAACGATATAATGTTTCATATCGTTCGGTATCGATAGTTATTGACATTTTTTATAACCTTTTTTAAAACAAAAAGCAATAGAATTTTTTTTTTTTTAATTTAACCACTGTATTTATAATGTGTTATCATAGTACGTGCCTATATCGTGCAATATATCGAACATTTTCTCTTATCGATATCGAAGGTGTACCGTCGATAAATATCGATACCGTTTTATCGCCCAGACCTACAGGAAAGTCTCAAAAATGCACACAAATCCAAGGCGATTCACACATTCACAGTCCATGATGAACTTGTGAATTTTAAACATTCAAAATTTTTGTACACGGTTGTACGTCTGTAAATTGTGTTTTGCATTTGTGAAATGTATTTTATTAATATACTTATTTTGTGCACGTGAATTGGTTTTCGTGAATATATATATTTTTTGGTGCATGTTTGCAAATTGGGTTTCGTGCATGTGAATTGGAATACACATATGTGCATAATGTTTTTTGCTTGAATTATTATTGAGTCTAATCCGCTTCCATATGCACGGGCCTCAAATATAGGCCCTAGCCCGGCCCTGGCCCGAGATGCTCAGGCCCTAGCCCGGCCCTTGTCCAACAGCTTATCAGAACTCTTGGCCCGAGTTCAACCGAAGCCGATTTTTTTCCCCTTCTCCTAAAACAGCTTATACTACTTTTTTAGCAATTTAAATAGTTCAGTTTTGTATATAACGGCAGAGTTATTATATTTAGTTTCGTTTTTGTATTAAGTTAATTTAGAAAAACGTTTGGAGCATTTTTTGTTTGTTAAATGTAGGCTAAGTTTATGTTTTTAAAGTAACGACCAAGCAGCCAGCGGCAGACAGTGAGTTGATCTTAGCCTATGTTTGATCAATTTAGTCTTCTCAAATCATCACGACTCGCCTAAAATAAAATCTATAGATATAAACAGTTCAAGCATATATCACAATGTTAGTTTAAAAGTTTAATCTAGACAAATGTGCGCTATTAGGCGCATATCTAATCGTTTGTGTGGAGAGTGGAAGCTAAAGTGCGTTTTGCAGGACATTGAGTCACCAGCGCGACCACTTATAACAGTGGAAACAACTTAAAATACGCCATCATTTTTGCTCATTACGGTAAGAGTAATACATTATTCCGAACTGTAAAGTGTCTACTTTTATTTGGGTGCACTCACAATATCAACAAAACGTTGTGCTTTTGTAAAATAAAGTAAACAAACAGGATGCGCTTTCTGCCGTCTCTGTCTTGAAAAGGAGCGCTGCACAAAAATGAACTGAAACTCAGCGAATACATGCCACACAGACATGATAAATGTATCTATAGAAAGCTTTAAATTACTACTTTAACAAAATAATTCAAATCGAAAAAAAAAAAATTTAATTAATCCGTAAAGATGCATTTCTCTCTAAAGTATATATTTAGTTTTCTAAATTCGAATTTTGTACTAAAATATTATCAATACTTGAATTATATTCTAATTTAAAAGGCATATTTTCTGTTAGGGGAAAAAAAGCTTTTGGCTTCTCTCCAGAGGCCACAAGAGGGCGCATCGAGCAAAATATGCACTTTCTTCAAAGCAATAAAACACTACGACTATCTTTGAAAAAATAATGTTTAGAAACCATATATAATTAATTACGTTGCTTAACAATTAGAAAGAAAACAGCATCATGAATGTATATGTATAGTTTAATACATTTAAAAACATGAGATGCAGTGGGATGCAGAAACACCGCCATAAAGTCTTGAGACATATTTTTTAAAAGTTGAACTTGCATTAATTTTACATGGCTTTCTAAACATGTTCTCTCTTGTGAACAACTCTCTTGTGCGAAACGCTAGTGCAACAGTGATAGATGTCCCTCTAGCGATAAATATGCATTCTGTGTGAACGGCTTGGTTTCAGTTTTGATGTAAACAACATCATCTCCGCATTGATGTTCTCTTTTTCCGCAAATATTTTGAATGAGCAGTGCCGCATCCAGTGGGTTCAACAAGGGTGCTTTCACACCTGTAGATCGATTGCTTTGTTCCGAAACAGGGATTAAAATTATTACAATGTTGCTTTTTATTCTTTGTGCGGTTCGCTTTCACACGGCAAAGTTTCTAAATGGACAAAAATTGCTAATACAAGTCACGTGCGAGTAAACTGTTCTCTCATTGGTCAAAGTTCCACTGTTTATTTTCCGGAATTCCGCTCATAGCGGTCATCCGTCAGGATGGAACGACAACAGCTTTGAGGGCTTATTGTTGGGTTTTTTGTAGCTGTCATTATATTAATTTATTAATTTATCATTTTGAGCAGGAGTCCAGGATTTGTCGGGAAAACATTGTTAAAATCCACCTACTATGAAGAAGGGCAATAATACGGCATTATAAAATGAAAAGGCGCACTCACCCACAGACATCTGCTGCGTCCCAATTCGCATACTATCCATCCTAAACATCTACTGCTTTTCACGGAACTTACGTAATTACCCATCATACATTGTGATATAGCCTGGTTCGTTGAATCAGATTGCTTTCTCACTACAACCGAACCGCTCCAGAGTTCGTTTTCAATCGAGCCAAGACCACCTCGTTCAGGCGATCTCGGACTGATTATTTTAGCACGGATCCAAAAGCGATTGCCGTATTCACATATGCCAAAACGAACCGAGCTAAGGGGGGAATTTTGCCAGGTTCCGAAACAACGGGCCAGGTGTGAAAGCACCCTAAAAGGCAATGACACCTACATTGTCATTGCATCTTGTGCGCCATTGATAAGTCTGTCTGACGCACACCTAAAATTCGAATGCAGCGTTTTTGCATTTGAATGTGGATATTTATTTTAAATTAAAAAAATATTAGAAATTAGATTTTTTTTTTACCCTAGTATGTTATAGACTTTTCATTAAAGGGGTCATATGATGCGATTTCAAGTTTTCCTTTCTCTTTGGAGTGTTACAAGCTGATTGTGCATAGATAAGATCCCTGAAGTTGCAAAGACTAAAGTCTCAAAACTTATTATATAATAAAAAAAAAAAAACTTGATACGTGTACTGCGTTAAGCTAACTGAGACTTGTTACAGCACTTGCATATTGCTTTTTTGTTGATTTTGATTGCGTCCATTGTCCTCATTTGTGAGTCGCTATGGATAAGAGCGTCTGCTAAATGACTAAATGTAAATATATTCCACATATAGGCCTATTTAACTTTTGTATATATTTGTATATGAATTTATTATTTTTTCAGAAGTGCTGCAGATGCGTGATGTGAAGATGTGTGAATCCTGATGTACTGTTGTTTGTGCTGCTATTAACTACATGTAATTAAATGTAAAACTAAATCCCTGGAAAACAAATTTTGATATTTTTAATGGCAATTGTCCATTCTGATTTAATTGTGAGTTAAGATAATCTTGCCAGTTAACAGTTAATTATCGGTTAAGTGGCATTGATTAATCTCCGGGGGGGGGTGGAACACTAAATGAACATCCCTCCCATCACTATATTACGATTTTTGCTGGTTTCAAAACACACATCACACTGTATTACCTGCTATTGATTTTCACTTAAATGTAATGCTTTAACAGTTGGTGACATCCTCCGAAAACCTCTAATGACAGCGCATTGCCATTCCGACTTGCTTATGATGTCTTGACAAGTGAGCGCTGGCATTTCTTTCATGTTGGATGCATCAACGTCACATTTGCACAGGCCATACAATTTTAATTTCATTACTGGTTGACTGCCAAATTAAAATATTTAACAGAATGATAAAATAGTGTTATTATTGACTTGGAAACATATCCTAATTTCATATTTTCCAATTGTCCCAAATTGATTCTCATAATTTTAATGTTTTCATTTTAGGCTTGATGAAAGTGAAAGAGGAAAGACAAGATCTGAACGAAGTGGAGGAGAACCATCAGGATCAGAAAGATGCTGAAGAACAATCAATGAATTGCTCCAAAACTGAAAAGAGTTGCTCACAAAGCAACATTCAGATAACAGAAGTTGAAAGGCCTTTCACCTGCTCTGAATGTGGAAACACTTTCAAACATAAAAGAAGCCTTATGTACCACACGTTAGTTCATGCTGGAATAAAGCCTTTCAGCTGCTCTCAGTGTGGAAGGAGTTTTACACAGCAAAAACAACTTAATGATCATGTGCTTGTTCACTCCTCAGAAAAGCCTTTCAGCTGCCCTCAGTGTGGAAACACTTTCACACGTAAAGCAAACCTTAAAAATCACATGATAATTCATAGTGGGGAAAAGCCTTTCAGCTGCTCTCAGTGTGGAAACACTTTCACATGTAAAGGAAGCCTGAAGAATCACATGTTAATTCATGCTGGAATAAAGCCTTTTGTCTGCTCTCAGTGTGGAAAGAGTTTTGTGCAGAAAGGACACCTTAAGATTCATTTGGTAACTCACTCTTCAAAAAAGCCTTTCAGCTGCTCTCAGTGTGGAAGGAGTTTTACACAGAAAAATCAACTCAATGATCATGTGCTTATTCACTCTTCCACAAAGCCATTCACCTGCTCTCAGTGTGGAAAAACAGCATCATGCATGTATGTATAGTTTAATACAAAGGACCGAAAACCAATCACAAAGAGTACTTTCTTCATTTAAAAACTTGAGATGCAGTGGGATGGGGGAAAACCGCCATAAAGTCTCGAGACATGTTTTTTAAAAGTTGAACTTACATTAATTTTACATAGCTTTATAAACATGCGTCCACATCTAGTGGGTTCAAGGACGGACTGGGAGTAAAAAACAGCCCTGAATTTTCTTCCAAATAGGCCCACCACAACTACAAACAGTCGCTACTATTTCACAATATTACATCAATCCTATCGCATTTATGGCAAATAACATCAGAAAACCATGGTGACCCTGCTGACAAAACCAATAGAAACCATCACAGAAATTCGAATGATTTCCACTACAAATACCATTACAAACCATCAACTTTTAACCATTAAAACCTTTAAATAATGGTTTCCTGTAGTGTGTTTTGGGACATATTATATTAGGATTTAGTGGATTTAACAAAAGCCATGAATAGAAGGTGACCAATTACCAGTAGAGACCAACAGGCGCCATTACAGTTTCCATTGAAAACTATTTTCATTATAACCAGTCAAACCATTACAAATTATGTGATGGTTTAGATTTTTTTTTTCAACAGAGGATTGAAATAAATGTATTATTGTATGAAATAAAATACTTGAAATCTACATAAAAAGCACAGAATGCAAAATGTATATAACAATGATAAACATAAACCTAGAATCTAGAAACCTGAAACA